CTGGTGCTGTCCTACGTCCAGGGGCTCTGACAGTGTTTTTGGCCACAGTTGGGAGAAGATGTCAGATTCCCTTCAGCAAAGGCAGTTTGTCTTAAACCCTTTACATGGGGCTTAAACTCATGAGTTGGGTTTGTTTTCCAGCCACTGGCCAAGCTATTTCATTCCACTCTCCTTACCCTTCTATTCCCCCTGCCTCCTGCCTTGACCCTAACTGACTCTGCCCTTAGGCAACCTTGGGCACTCTGGTTGCAGGGAGAGCTGCTGAGTCAGCAGGATGGACTCCATTGGAGCCAACAGGGCAACGTGCCTGGAAACTGTTGTCAAGCCTTGTTTGTTAATGACGTGTGTTTTGGGAGATCCAGGAGGAAGCAGAAGGCTGAGCTAAAGCAAGGCACAGGGGTGAGTAAGATGTAGGGTGTAGGGTACCACTGGGTGTACACTGGGTGTAGGGTACCCAGGCAGAAAATGGCTTGTTTCTTTCAGAGCTGTATTCTTTGTAGGTAAAGAAGAGAGGTAGTCAAGGCTCTTGGAATAGCAGGTTCAGCACCTTGGTACAAGTACCCCTTCCTCTACATCAGTCTTAATTAATGAGCAAAGAAACATCCCCGCCATTTGCAGTGGACTTATCCTAAGCCCATTCTTCAGCCCATTAGCTGGCAGTGTTTGGTGGGCTGAGGAAGGAGAGAGGCATAAGAGGCTTTCTCAATGAATGGGCCTTCCTTTTGTGCTGAGGTTTTCCTTGTCCCGCAGACTGGCTTATTCTGGTGGAGAAGGGGTTAGAACAGTGGGCCACCGTGCACTGTATTGTCAGAGTATGGATGATGTGCAGTCTCCATGGCCTGAATCTTCTGGGCTCTGTTCCCTTTCCAGCTATCTTTAGCTCTCACTATTCCTTGACGTAAAAATCCTTGACTCCAATCAGGAAAACCTTCCCTCTCACTCTAGACATGATTTGTGTGCTTACCCCTTTTCACCCTGTGGCTGTTCTGGTAGAGGATAGCCCCAGCAGCTGTGATATGCTTACATTTGTTTTAATGTTTCTACATCTGTGACTCCTCTAGGCTGAGCAGGGGGCCTCTTGCTCCTTTCCTATCTCTCCACAGCACAGGATGTAGGATTGTGAATGAAGCAGACACTTGTTACATATAGTTGATTGACTGATACACCCTCACATTCTCTGAATAGCTTCTAGGTTGGACCAATCATGAACTGCCACCTTCAATCAGACAACTCTCATTCAAGAGGAGTAGAGACACCTGCTCCAGTTGGTGTCAGAGGCCATCCAGGCTAAAGCAGCACATCCAGATGATCTAGCCTCTTCGGCTTCCAGTCACTATGAGTTCAAGGAGTTGCAAAGATGATTCAAGATTATTTCGTGCTGAAAGAATGAGGTAGGGAGGAAGCAGACTGCCTTCCTGTGAAGCTCAAGTAGAAGCAAAGGACAGAAGAAGGGAGAGATAGGAGAAGAGGGGGTTCACAGATGAGAGGGGAAAGAAGGGAAAAGAGACGGAGAAGCGGTGAGGCAGAGGAAAGATGTTGCCTGGGTTCAGGTTCCAGCTCCAGTTTTGATTTTTGTATCCAGCTGTAGTACATGCTGGGAGGCAGCTGGTGATGGCGCAAGTCCTTGAGTCCCTGCTGCTCACACAGGAGACCTGAATGGGATTCCAGGCTCGTGGCTTTGGCCTAGCCCAGCCTTGGCTGTTGCAGGCACATGGGGGAAGTGAACCTGCTGACAAAGGTTTTCCATATTTTTTGCCTTTCAAAGGTAAAACATCTAGGTTTAAAAAGATGTCTTAAAGGAGAAAGAATGTGAAAGGAAGACAAGAGGAAGAAAGGAGGGGGCAGGAACTGCTGAGCCATTCAGGCTTCACTGTGAAGTTAAGGTGTGATCATGGGGTAAGAGCTGAACGTGGATGATAATGCAAGACTCTTACCTGGGCTCCAGCAGTTATCCATCTGTGGACCTGGAGACATGGACAGGTCCTAGAATCACAGACTCTGAACTGCTTCATGGGAAAGGAGGGGGTATGAAGCCAACGGCTTTAGATAGTGTTATGTGCTTTTAACGCAAGGGATTGTACCATGCCAGGCTGAGGCATGGACTTCAGCTAGCAAATTCTGTAGATGTTGTAAATTTTGAGAAAAAATAAAGAGGAGGAAGCTATATTTGCTGCTCTCATTAAGGGGTATAAGTGATGGGGACCAGAGCTTAGCAAGAGTCAGGATGCATAAAGAGAAAGAATTTTAACCCCTGCAGTGGTTAGTTTCCATCCAATCTCTTCCCATACCCAGCCCTATATCACAGCTTCCTTGTATCTAAGGCCATCATCTTTGTGGCTTGAGCAGCTGAAGGAGGCCAAAGAGGCTGGGCTGTTTATTAATGCAGATCAGATGCCGGCTGGAGGCTCGCTCCATCATTTTCAAGTCCCAAATTCTTGGGGGTGCCACCTTCTCCTAGAATTGAGCAAGAGGGGAATTCTAGGGGATATGAGATAAATTGTGTGGTGAAATAGCACATGTAAAACAGCTCCTGGCCACGTGAAGTCCTTAGCCACACCACTGATGCCACAGTTTCACATGATTGAGGCCAGAGATGGAAGGAAAATGGTTTACAACATGATTAATGCTCTGAAGACACTGTCTGCTGTTCCTTGTTCCGATATCAGCATGACCAGTAGGGAACTAACAGGGAGAGCAATCTTCTCCCTCAAAGAAGTACTAAGGAGGCAGCTACTTTTCTCTATCCCAATTCATAGACCTTTCCTTGCCTATAGCCTCCCTGTAGTCCTGCAGCATAGAGAGCTTTGGGCAGAGCATGACAGAAAAAAATGGGGGTCATGGGTAGACAGCAGGGAGAGCCAAATGTGGAGTCAATGAGATCAATTGTTTCCTGAGGTTGGGAAAACTTGGGTTGAAGTCAGGCAAAATAGTGGGGAAAGAAGCAGGTGGTCTGTAAGGCATTCAATCAATCAAGATGTCTCTGGCTTCATATCCAAGCAGGAGAGCTCATGGCATGTTCTTCCTCTCTAAGTCTCTGAGTAAACAGGCTCGAGGAACAAAGAAAAAAGCAACAAGGCACTGGTGTTACTAAGCTCTTAGTGCCTGGCACAACAGCTTAACATGTCCTCTGCTCCTCCATGCCAATTGTGTCTTAGTTTTGCTGTGTTATCTTGGGAAGAAAAAGCAGGACAGGGGTGAAGGAAAGATGAGGACATCACAGTTCCCTTAAGGAGATGGTGACAAAGTGAGGATGCTGTGGTAGAGACAAAAGATATCAAATGTCAGGAGAAGAGGAAGCTGGTGAAGACCTGGGATTCACAGGAAGCTGAGGCTGCCCTCAGGGAGATGGGGTGGAGTAAGACTTCCCCTCAGGTGGGGGCAAAGGCCACCCAGTGTCTTGGAAGAGTGTTACCTTCTGCTGAGTTGAGGGGACTGTGGGGGAACTACTTCCACTTTTTATGTCAAATCAGAAAATCATGAAACTAGAGGGCTGGACAAATGGAGCTTTGGGAGAGTTGAGAAAGAAGACTGTCTCTCCTTGGTGCCTTGAATCAGATGCTTTAAGTCTGCCCACCCAGATCATCCTATGTCATCACCCCTAATTTACCATGGCTCTGACCAAATCTATCTTGTGAACTAGCAGTAGCCTAGCTGTAGCCTAGCTTCTCTAATTCCGCAACAGAGGAGAGAAGAAAATGAAGCTTTTTTTTGGGGGTGGGGGTGGGCAGAGGATAGCAGCAGCAATTCTGTAAAAGTGTCCTCATTGACTGAAAGCACACTAGAAACTCTCCCCATCCCTTCAGCCACTCTGCTGTTTAGCATCACTGCTGTCAGGGCCGGGTGCTAATCGGGCACTGATTTCCCCTGCATGTCCCCCTGACGCAGTTCTTCTATCACCAGTCTAGCAAGAGGAGGGAAGCAGACATGGTCACAGCCTTGCCTGTATGGAGGAAGAAGGATTCCAGGACCTTCTTTCTTCCATATTACCAGATCATGGACTGTGTAAGAGATGAAGAAGCTGGGAGCCCTAGAGTCTCTTCTTGGAGGGATGAACATTTCCTTTGGGACCTAACCTGAGATCCCAGCTATGACCATACACCCAGGAGGAAAAAATGTTCTCAAGTAGTAGCCATATGGAGACTGAAACAGCCCTTTCCTCCAACTAGCGACTCCGTGTGCCAGCCATCTCTATTACCATTCCCTTTCTACAACTGTCAACGACCCTGCACAGACATCCTTCTTGAGTCTGAGGAAAAAGCTATCACCCGACTGAGTGAGCTAAGCTCTCCACTGGCTTGGTGCAGTTTCCTCCCCTCCACCCCCTCTGGCTCTGCAGGAATTCAGAAGGAAGGTGCCCACTCAGGTCGGAAGGCAATCAGCTTCCCCAGATGAGCCACTCTTGGCTTCCACTCCCACTGCCTCAGCTAAAGAGCCAGCTCGGTCCTCCGGGAAATCCTCTCTCTCACCCTTGATCTTCCCGGAGTCCAGCTCCCTGCCTTTCCGCATTTATCCTCTGCCTCAGATTCTCCCGGCCTCAAAACTGTTCTTTCTGTGCCCAAGCCCTTCTAAAGCTTGCCTTTGCCAAGCCTCTGTCATTTTCATAAGCCATTCTCCCTCTCAATAATCTTACCACCCAAATCCTAAATTATTCCCAACTTAAAAAAAAAATTCCTCCAGGGGATCCCAACTTCTTGATTTTATACCCTTTCAGCCTTGCCAGTTTCTAACACCGCCAGTCATTTAAATCTTGTTTCACTCTTCCTCCCACCTCCCACTAGAAGGACTGGACACTCATTTTATCCAACATTTGCCCCAATCTCCCCAGTCCCCCATGTAGTTTCCCCTTTTCCCCAAATCTCTTCTACCCAAAGTCTCCTTACCGCTCCCCTTTGCAATACCCTGCCTTTCAGATTCCCATGAACACCCCATTTCCCCTCCTCACACCCACTTGCTTCCTTTCCTCCAGCCACAACAGCCCCCCTCTCCTCCGTCTCACTCACTCGGGTCTCCTGCCCAGGACGCCCTTGCCCAGGGCGGTGGGGGATTTGTGCTGAAGGAGGTTTCCGGTGGAGGTGCAGCAACTCGGGGGACGCTCCTTGTCCTTGTGGGCGCCAGCCGCTAGCGTCCCCGCGGGCGGCTGGGGTGACAGCGGTGCCTGAGCCCTGCTGTTGGGGCCTGGCTGGGGCTGCGCCACGAGCTGTCCGTGGTGCTGAAGCGCGGAAGGCTCCGGCGCAGAGGGCGGGCGCTGTCCGTGGTCCTGGAGCGGCTGCTGGGCCCCGGCGGCGGGAGAAGCCGGTGGCGGGGCGGGAGACGGGGCTCCGGGCCCCGGCGAGGACTGCGCTTGCAGCCGCTGCTGCTGCTCGCCTAGGCTGCGGTTCTCGGCGCTCAGCTCGTCCAGCCGCCGCTCCAGTTCGTCGATGCGCTGGCGCTGCGTGTGGATGAGGCTCTGTTGGTTCTGCACGATGGCCGTGAGCTCCTTGAGGTAGAGCACGGCCCGCACCGGGTTCTCCAGCAGGCTCTCCATGCCGCCCGCCGCCGCCTGCGCCTCCCTGCGCTTGCCTGGGCGGGCGGCGGGCAGCACCGGGGCGCACGGGAGTGGAGCAGCGCCGCGGCCGGCTCGCCTCGCTCTCTGGCGGCCGCAGCCTCCTCCTCGCCGCCGGCGCCGCGTCAGCGCCACGGAGACTCACACCCGCCCCGAGGGCGGGACCGCGCGGCGCCGGGGCCTCCCCTCCTGGCTGCGGGAGGAGGAGGCTCCGCTTCCTGCAGGCAAAGAGGAGGCGCGGCTGCAAGGGCCTCGCGTGCGCGCCTGCAGCCTAGGCTGTGGCGGAGCGCGACGCGGGAGGCCGCGACACCACTGAGACGCTCTCTACTGGAGGAAGGGAGAGCAACCGAAGAAAGCCAAAGCGTTGGAAAGTGGGAGAGGAGGGAGAGGCTGGGAGAAGGAGAAAACAGAAGGGAGGAGGTGTGGATGAACGGGTGGAGAAAACGTTTGAAAGGCAGCAGCAGGCAATGGGCCCTATGGAGTTCCGTTTGTTATGCACACCCTTCCAGGAGCTGGGGGTCCCTCTTAAAAAAACCTTCGCAGGAGAGGCCACACTCGTCTTTCACACCCGAAGAACGTGTTCTGTTGGGGAATTCCCTGTTACACGGAGATCACGGGGCTTTAAATGACCCTAGCCACCATTTCCGCCCGCCCCTTCCCTGAGCCGTGAGGAAAATGCCAGTGGGAGGGCTGTTCGTGGGAGGGGTTTTTCTGAGAACCAGACCTTAGGACACCAGGTTGAGAAGCAGGCAGGACGGTGGGTGCTCCTAGCCCAGATGGTGGTCCAGGTTCCACCCTCCGCTCTAGGGTCCAGACCCACTGTGTGCGGTGCCATTGACCACCCCTCCACCTGCCCCATTAGGCTTATCATGGTTCCACTGCTGGGACAGCCACCTCCATCTAATACCAGATGCCAGTGACCCTCTGGGAAGGAATTTGTGCTTCGTGAATGCTTTGGCCTCGTCGCACTTGTCTTTCTCCCATTTATCCTTCTGGCACCCGCTCTCTCCCAGCCCCGTGCCCCAGTAAAGAATGAGGCAGCACTGGGAGGAAAGGAGGACACTTCAGGTGTCAATTTTCCTACTAAAGAGCAGGTGTTGGGGAAAGGACAAGGACACACACAAGCTCAGATACTCCCAGTTTGTTTCTCTCACCTAGTTGGTCAGTTGTCTAAGAGTTGGCTTCTTGTAGAGGCCAATGCTATTCTGTCAGTGGAACATTTCCTTGAGATGCTGATTTCTGGTGCCCTGGAATCACTAGGGGTGGGACCCAACTGCTATCATTTCTTGTTTTATTAAAACAAACAAACAAACAAACAAACAAACAGCTTTTCAACCTGGCATGATAGCTCAACTGGCTAATCTTCCACCTCCAAGCAATAGGATTTCATATGGACACTGGTTCATGTCCCAGCTGCTCTGCTTCCCATCCAGCTCCCTGCTTGTGGCCTGGAAAAGCAGTCAAGGAAAGCCAAAAGCCTTGGGACCCTGCACCCATGTGGGAGACCTGGAAGAAGCTCCTGGTTCCTGGCTTAGGATTGGCTCAGCTCCAGCCGTTGCAGTCACTTCTGTAGTCAACCAGTGGATGGAAGATCTTTTTCTCTGTCTCTCTTTTTCTCTGCAAATCTGCCTTTCCAATAAAAATTATCATTTATTTTTAAAAATCAGTTTTTATGAGTTGTCATTTGCCTGTAACAATACTGACATGCATCTGTTTTGAGTGCCCAGGTCAGTATTTTGGCAGATACGTGCAGTGCAACAGTCCAAATTTCCACCGTTGCAAAAGGAAAATCTGCATACCTGTGCAGTTAATTCCTCTTGGGTTCCACCCCATTAACCACTGTTCTTACTGTAAATGTATGTTAGGTTTGCCCGTTATAGAGTTACATGTAAATGGAAATAAAACAATAATACTCTTTTGTGTCTGATTGTGGTATAAATGTGATGAGATTGCTGCTTTTTGCCTCTCCCTAGTATTCACTGTAGACACACCTTAATGTGCGTTTCTTTTCACTTGATGGCATTTCAGTTTCTAAGTCCTCATTATTTTGAATAAAACTGCTTGATATTAACACAGGAGTTTTCAGGTAAACACGCACTCACATAGCTTCCTGGGTCTTCTATTTTATATCTTATCAAAAGTAAAATCTAGAACTGAAACTGCTAGACCAAATAAAAGTATGTATTTAATAAGAAAAAGCCATTTCCCAAGTGGTTGTACTATTTTTTATTCTCTCATTATTATCCTTATTAAATAATTTTATTGAAAATTATCGGAAAGTCAGATATACAGATGAGGAGAGACAGAGACAAAGAGGAAGATCTTCCATTTGCTGATTCACTCCCCAAGTGGCTGGTACCCCAGGACTGAGCTGATCTGAAGCCAGGAGCTTCTTCTGGGTTTCATGTGGGTGCAGGGTTCCAAAGCTCTGGAATGTTCTCAATTGCTTTCCAAGCCACAGGCAGGGAGCTGGATGGGAACTGGGGCCACTGGGATTAGAACCGGAGCCCCATATGGGATCCTGGTGCATGTAAGGTGAGGACTTAAACTGATAGGCCACCATACTGAGCCCAGTAAATGAGGTGGCAAGATATTTGGTTAAATGACATGTGTAAGTTTGTATATATCCATTTATTGTACCTACAATTAGACATATATAATGTATTTGTACAGATATAAGGATACTTTAGAATGTTCACGGAAATATTCAATTTGAAAATGAGTTTTTTTTTTATGCAAGCAAACGACTACAGAAGTTGTACAGGGGCCATTTCCTTCAGCCCTCTACCTCTGGGTAGAAGAGCAGCTGACCTTCAGCGCCCTATGTGCCTCCTGCCATACACACAGCCAGAATTCAGAACTTCTGCCTCCCCCAGGTGTCTTATGCATTTTACACATCAGGCTGCCGGCCTGCAGGGAAGTGAGGAAAGTCCAGCCCTTCCTTATGACCTTGTGGGTCTGTTTCCATGGGTGTTGGCTCTATCAGGCATGAAAGTGGTGATGATAATCAGCATTTTCCTTTCCTTAATGGCTTTCCCTGTCTCTGAGCCTTCGTTTTCTCAGCTGTAAGATGGGGATAATAATGGGATCTAAATCATAGATTATTTAAAAAATAAATATCTAGTCCATGTAAAAGTGTGATCATATGTATTGATTTGTTTCATTTGATGCTCAGCGAGTGACATACTAGTCACACGTATTTCTATTCCTCCTGCTTTTCAGATGTAGCAAGTGAGGCTTAGGGAGGGTGGGCTACTTCCCGGAAGAGACAGTCAATGAAAGCAGGGCTGGGACTGGAATTCAGGCCTATTTTCAGCCCTCCATGTTAGTCCTGCACAACACATTTGGACACCCGATACGAAGAGAATACTTGGGTGAGAGGGGTTGGCAACGACCCTAATTATGGAGGTAGGATTCAATGGTATAGAACAGAAAAACACTAGTGTGGCATAGGGTCCAGCACAGAGCCTGCACCCAGGGAAGGCCTAGGTCAGTGGCAGGGTGAGGGTGGCTGTCAATGCGGCACTGTGCTCAAAATACTTTTCACAGGCATGTGGTCACAGTTACTCCTTACAGAAGCTCAGCTGTGTAGTGTTTTTTAGCCCTATTTTTTTTTAAAGATCTATTTATTTTACTTGAAAATCAGATTTATAGTGAGAGAGGGGGAGAGAAGTAAGGGAGAATGAGAAAAGAGCCATCCTTTGGTTCACTTCCCAGAAGGCTGCAATGGGCAGAGCTGAGCAGTCCATAGCATGCACCCAAGGCTTTGAGCCATCCTCTGCTGCTTTCCCAGCCAGAAGCAGGGAGCTGGATCAAAGCAAAACAGCTGGGACTCGAACTGGTATCCATATGGGATACTGAAGCCACAGGGAAAGGATTAGGCTGTCACATCAAGGTTTCTCTCTCTCTCTTTTTTTCTACATATTTATTTTTATTGGAAAGTCAGATATACAAAGAGGAGGAAAGACAGAGAGGAAGATCTTCTGTCCAATGATTCACTCCCCAAGTGACTGCAATAGCTGGAGCTTCACCAATCCGAAGCCAGGAACCAGGAACTTCCTCCAGGTCTCCCACATGATTGCAGGATACCAAGGGCTTGGGCTGTTCTCAACTGCTTTTCCAGGCCACAAGCAGGGAGCTGGGTGGGAAGCAGAGCAGCCAGGATTAGAACCGGCACCCATATGGGATCCTGGTGTGTTTAAGGGGAGGACGTTGGCTACTAGGCCACCATACCGGGCTCATACCAAGGTTTCTTTTAAGTGCAGCCTAGGGAATAAGTTTTGCTGCATGTCCTGAGGGCATGTGATTTATGGTATTGGCTGGGCAGGGGGCTCCAAGACTGGCTGCAGACCTGCTTTGAGCCCTTGTCACACTTATTTGCCTACTTGATAGGCAGAGCCTTCCTGCCAATTCTGAGCCGCTCTGAGCCAACACCTGCCTTCCCAGCCTGAGTGGAGCCCTCACTTCCCTTCTCCCAGGCCGTCAATTCCTTGGGGGCTTCCTTGACACTTGGGAGTGGAATAGAGCATGGACAAGTATATGGTTTCAAAACAGGCAAATGTGAATTGGAGTCTTTGTGCTACCTCTCCTGAGTAGTATGACCTTGGCAAGTTACTGAGAGTCACTAGCTTTTTATCTAGACACTTCACACTTGTGGAAGCTGTCCTGTGAACAGGATGTGGCTCCCCAACATACGCAGATGTTTAAGTCCCAAAGACATGACCTGATAACTCTAATTGGGTGTAGGTTTGATCCAGCAGCAGTGTCTAATGGTGGAGCCTTGGGGAAGTGACTAGGTTGGATTAGGTTGAATGCAGAGGCTCATGATCAGCAGACACTATGGGTCGCCTTACTGGCTCCACACATGATTCTTCTTTGGCATACCTATGCCAGCCACTACCCAGGAAGGCTGCCTGAACATGGGCTGTGAGCTTCACAACTGTGAGCCAAATTCAAGGGTCTTCCTGAATCAGACATCTTCA